GGGCGAGACGGTGGCTGGCCGAGGGCAGAGGGGGATCGTGGCCGCTGCCGCTCACCGCCTCTCGGCAGTAATTTGTCTGTATCCCAGTCGTTCTCAGAGAAAAGATGGCTCCCAAAGATTGGGATCATCTGTTACTTCTCCCTAGACTTGGAGTTACAGCTGACAGTGGGAAAGTCAGTTCTAAATAAACATTAAACGTTAAGACTGTCCCCTGAAGCGGGGCCCGGGCCCACACCAGAGCCAGAGCCACCTCAGCAGCAACCCACGATTTTTCGTCTCTCGTCTCGCCAGTGGGCTGTGTGCTTCCATGTTTTCCGTCCTCACGGCACAGTAATCCACCGCGCAGACAGAGCCGTGTGGACAGCAGAAGGCTGGCTCTCATCAGGGGTAAATGGGCTCGTTCTCCTAGACGTTCATTACTCAAAGACGCATTCCTCGTTATTCCTGTGACCTAGCCAGGAGTCTGGTCCAGCAGGCTTTAAACAGCATTTCCAAATCCCGTCCCACAGAGCCCTTCTGCGGGACCAAGGAAAAGCAATTAAAAAGAACAAGTGTATTGTCAGGATGTCTAAATTCACTGCAGGGAGTGCCACACTTCCACTGACTCCAGGCCTGCAAGTCAGAGGAGGCAGAAGACACCTCAGGTATCCCATCTCTAAGATATGGTTGAGATACCTCTTTGTTTCTACAAATATTTTTGTGTAAAAAAGAACTTGTAAACAAATAGTGTAAAGTGTGAACCTTTTATTAATACTGTAACATCTGTAATAGCAGTATGTGATGCAGTTTATCTTTGCCTTTATTGGGATCTAATGAATATTACAAATAGGCAATATTTTTCAATGTAATTTAATAGCTGTTTGCCCATGGGGCACAGAAAATATACTGTCCAAAATCATCAGTTATTGTCATTAGGCATTATATTTGAGGCAGAAATACTGCCCCAGAAATATTCTTAAGAAGTGAGACCATTCGCTGTTTTAACCTCCAAGTGAGACGTTTCCTTACCGGTGGTTATGCCTCCGTCATTTCTGCTACTACATCTATTTGAGTTCCTTATTTCTCTTTCTTGTTTTAGAAACACAGGAAAAAAACGATGAGAGATCTGGATCCTCATGTCCAACCTTGTACCACCGCAGACAATCACATTATGTATTTTCTTTTCTAGCTCCGTCGTGAAACGAGTTAGCTTTGTTCCCCTCCCTCCCTCCCGCGATGCTCTGAATTCATGATTATCTCATTGGACAAAAAATGGTAACTTGCCTTGAATCAATGTTGTCCTTTAATTTAAATAGCTCTTTTTGTTTCCTGTTATTTATCCCAATGGTGCACTATCGGATGAAAAATAAATAAACAAACCAACCCACCCATATTCCTGCTCAGCTTTGGCTTTGTAGGTGAAACAAGGCAAGTCTGTTTGTGTTTGCTCGGCAAAAAGGAGCCTTTCCGTTTCTTCGTACAAGGTCAGCTCTTCTGTGTGTGTGTGCGCAGGTTTTAATTCATCTTTGTTGACTGTGCATGACCACACAGTGTAACAGATGTGTGGGGTTTTTTTCCCAATGCTTTGTAAATACTTTTTAGCTCTGCTAGAAAAAAGTCAACTGGCTTCTCCTGGGATAAGCTTTGCTTTCTTTTTCACCTGTACTGAGGGGATACCGATTATCCTACAAAAGGCAAATACCCTAGGTCCCTTCTCTCTTCTTTTGCTGAAACGTTGAGGGTTTACAGCAGAAATTGCAGCTTTCATCCCCGCAGCGCACGACCTTGTGCCGTGTACTCTCAAACGCCAGCCGATTTTCATTACTCCCTATCTCCAGGTTCTTCAGTCCTTCCTGCCCAACAGTTCCGTCCTCCTCCTCCTCTTCCTCCTCCATGTCTCCAGTGCCTCCCAGTGCCCACCATCTGTGGTTCTCACTACCGCGCCATTTCAACCCATTCGCCCTGTCCTTGCGAGCGCATCCTTCCAGTTTTCCTACGAACTCCTGGTTTGGCCGCTCCCGACGCGGCACCGCAGTAAACGCTCCAGGGAGGCCTGGAAACGGTGGCTCCGTGCCGGACAGCCGGCCTGTCCCAGACGAGGCGCCCTTGGGACAGCCGCGCCGTGTTTCAGCCCGCGTTTCGCTGTAGCCCGCCCCCCTGCCTTCC